ATTAAAAAGTACAAATTTAAATAGAAGGAAATTTTTTATTTTAGATTTATTGTATGTATAGGGCAAGGTATTAAAATAGACTCTAAAAAGATTAAAATAATTATTTTATAAAAAAGCTCTAAATTAGTAAAAGCTGTCTAAAGCTTTTTAGGATTTATAAACTTTTACTGTAAATTTATTTTCAGATTTTTAACTATTATACAACTACTTATAAATCTAATAAAAAAAGATTAGTTTTTTTAATAGATCTAGAAGTATAAGGTAAGATTTTAGATACTAAAAAAAAATTTATAACTAAACTAATTTTCTGTTTTTTTAACCCTAAATATATAATAGTAGTAGAGACAGACTTTTTAGACTATAATATAAAAAAAATATTTTTTTAAATAGATAAAAATAAAAAGCTGTATTTTTATATCTACTTTTCTAAACAGAACACCCCAGCTAAATACAACTATAAGATTTATAATAAAAAACTGCTAGTAGTTATATAGTATCTAAAAGTATAGAATACTAAGTTAGACTTAGTATTAGAGTTTATAGTAGTAATTAATTATAAGAATCTAAAATACTTTTTTAAATTATATTACCTTATAAAAAGATATATATAATAGAGTTTAATCTTAAATAGATTTAACTTTAAACTAGTCTACTAAAAAAAAATAAAAAATAAACAAACAGACGCCCTTTTATAATAGGAATAAAATATACCTAATAAATAAGATTCTAAAATATTATTCTATATAATACAAATTTTTAATAGAATATTAAAAGAAGATCTAAAACCTAAGACTAGTTTACTTACTGTAGCCTTAGTATAGTTATAAAAATATAATATAAAACTAGATAAAGACTTTTTAAAATAGATATAGTAGATTATTATAAAATTATTAGAGCCAGAAAACAGATCTAAAAATAGCTAGACCCGCACTCTAACAGTAGATATAGATTATTAGAATCTAATAAAGCTTATATAAAAAAAAGTATATAAATTTCTACTTTAGCTAAAATTAAAAGTTTTTCTAAGCAAATATTTAATAAAAAAAGCTTAGATATACTTTTAAAAAAGATAGTAGATTTTTAACTATAAACTGCTTTATATAGATCTTATCTAAAGCAACTATAATTCTTTTATTATAAAATATTCCAGCTAAAAACAGATTTATTTTTTTCTTAGTAAAATATACTTCTAGCCTAATATATTTTAAAATATATAAAAATATATTTAAAACTATAATATCTATAGTTGTATAAAGCTATAAAAAAAACTAAAATATAAATTATTAAAGCTACTGCTAATACCAGATTAACCCTAATAAAAACTAATAATAGATTTTATTATTAACTTACTTAAAAGTAAGTTATATACAAATATTCTAATAATTATAAATAAACTAATAAAAAAAGTAATATTTTATATAATAAAAAAGATTACTGCTGAAGCTACAGCTAAAATCCTAATTAAAACAGTTTTTAAATAATATAGTTTTTTAAAAACTATAGTTTTAGATTAAGGCACCTAGTTTATAAATTGTATATAAAAAAAAGTATATAATTTATTAAAAATTACTAAAAAACTATCTACAGCTTATTATTTTTAAACAGATAAAATAACAGAATATATAAATAGTATTATTAAAGTATATCTAAAAGCTTATATAGATTATAATTAAAAAAACTAGGTAAATCTACTGCTTTTAGCAGAGTTGGTAATTAACAGCTATATAAATATAGTTATAGGATTTTTACTGTTTTTTCTAAGCTATAATTATAAGTTAAATCTAAACAGCTAGAAAATAGTTTAAAGTATAGATCTAAAAATTACTGCTTCCAGCCCTATTTAATAAAAAGATATAATTATATAAAAGATATATAATATTTTAAACTGGGCTTAAAATACTATAGCCTATATATAACAGAATACTAAAAAATAGGCTAATTAATTCTAATAAGCTGCCCTATTATATTAAAAAAATAATTAGATATAATTAAATTTATAAAATATCTGTATAAATTATCCTAGTAAAAAGCTAGATTAGAAAAATATAAAATATATTATTTTAAAAAAAATAGGATTATATACTGTATAACTTAATATATTAAAAAGTATTTATTTTATATTTTATATCAACCTACTTTGTCCAACAGCTAATAATATATTACTATTATAAAATAAAAAAAACTTACAACTACCGCCTATAATAGTTAACAGTAAAAAAGAATATAAAATTAAAAAAACTTTTAATAAACAGTATATAATAAGAGGCCGGAAGAGCTAATTATAGTATTTTATTAAATAAAAAAACTATATAAAACCAATTTAAAAACCAGCTTTAGTATTTAATAATATAAAAGTAGTTATAAAATAGTAGCTGCAGTCCCAGCCAAACTCTAACTAACTATTAAATAATTAACAGCTGGAATAAAAAAAGAATTATACTAATACTCTTCCCCCTCAGCTCTGGTTTATATAAATCTAAGATAAAAAGAGAAGAAAAAGAAACAAAAAAAAAAAATCTTTTTTAATTCTTTAAAACTAACTAAGGGAAGCTGTATTTAATCTAATAAAAAAACTAAATACTGCTATACCAAATTTAGCTTATATACTAATTTAATCTACTAATTTTTTAATAATATTTTAAAAAAGAGCAGTAATAGCTGCAGGCTTATATTTAGACTTATTTAAATTATAATAGCTATAATATATACTATAATCTTTAAACTTATAGTTTATATAGGCCCTGCCCTATTATTTAAATAGCTGTATAGTCTGCTAGAACTTTATCTAATTATTATATTTATAATAATATAGTATTACTAAACTATAGAATATAATTAAAAGACTGTTAATATAAAAAAAATACTTAGTATATATCTAATTTTATTAGTATTTTATATAAAAATACTATTAGACTTTTTTATCTAGGCCACAGTAAAAGCACTAATCTTTATTTTAAATTTATAGTAAAAGAAATACTAAATATACTACTAGTCTGAAGTATAATAAAATTAAAATAAAACTTTATTTTTATATATTATTAGTTATATAATAATCCAGTACTCTGTATTACCGGTATAGAGGTTATAAATAATTATATATTATATAGACAGAAAAAATAAATTATAGTTAGTAAAAGTAAAAGAGATCTAAAAAAGATTATAATAAATAGAAATTAGTATATTATTTAGATAATTAGACTTACCAGCCCTAGTATTAGAAGAAAAAGATATAATATTAACAAGCAGAGAAAACAACAGGAATTATACAGATAAAAAAAAAACTAATTAGTAATAAAAAGAATAAAAAAAAGATATATAAAAAAAAAAAAGCTAAAAAGGGGGGGGAAGTAGCCTTTTTATATAGTACTTTATATACTTTATATAATACTAGTAGCTAAGCCTGACCACACCCTTAAAACCAGTTGTATGAATAGTATAAAAAAAGATTCTATTTACTAGATAAAAAAAGAATATACAGAAAGAAGAGATTTTATTTACTAAAGGATTACTATATTTACTAAATAAAAGGGGTTTATATAGAAAAAAAAGCTATAATAAATAATATAGGCCTTATCTATATATATACTGCCTACTAACCAGCTATAATATTATTTAAAAAAAGCTGAAGTATAGAACTATTACTTTAAATCCTAGACAGCTGTTTATATAAATAAAAGCTGCAGAAAATACTAAAAAAAGAAGAAAAAAGGCTTCTGTTATAAAACTAAGGTCTTATTATAAAGCTTAGCTTTAGATACTAATTAGTATTTAAAGCCTTGTATACTAAGTACTAAACTAGTACTAGCTTAGTATATATATAAAGGAATTTTGTACAAACAGATAAAATAGCTCTTTAGCTATTTCTTCTTATTCTAAGGCATGTTTTGATTAGCACAATCCATCCGTCCCGTAACATAGATATATACTAATTATTTTACTATTAGTAAAAAATATTAGAATATTTTAAATAATTTTAATCTAAACTTAATTATTTTTATATCTAAAAAGTAAAAGGAGGATAAGGTAATTACTATTTTTTATATTAATAAAAATTAAAATATAAATAATTTTAAAAATAACTCTAAAGATAGATTATTATTTGTAATAGAAAAACTAGTTTTATCTAAGTTTTAGTTACTATATATATTCAGATAAAGATAAAAACCCGGTTTTTATAATTTTTATACTATTATAATTACTATTTTAAACAGTATAAAAAGTAATATAAAATTATTAGTATATTTAATAATAAAATTTTTTTTATACTTAACTTTATAAAAGTCTTTTACAAAGTATAGTATATTTTTTAGATAAAATATATAGTACAGGTTGATTAGATAGAGCAGGTAAAACAGATTAATTAAATAAAATAAATTAATTAAATTAATTAAATAAAATAGATTAACTAGATAAAGCAGATAAAGCAGATAAAATAAATATACTAAAATTAAAAAATATTATTATACTATAATTAAAAATATATTATACTTTATATATTATTTATATAAAAGGATTATATATATTATAAATTAATCTATAGTTATTAATCTATTTATTATATTTAATTTTCTAATCTATAGATATAAACAGTTAAAATAATAGTTATATCTTAACCTAACTATAACTGTATAGTTAAAAATCTTTTATATTTTAACCTAACCGCCAGGTTATGGCCAGATTAAGGTTAAGGTATAACAGTCAGGTTAAGCCACTCTATCCTAGGCCTAAGCCAGATAGGGCATACCAGCCAGCCTGCTACAATATATATAGAAATAAAAAAAATACAATTATGTAAAATATCTTTTGGAAAAATAATGAAAATCGATATACATAGTTTTTTCTTAATAGTTAAGTAGTTTCAGAAAGCAGCTAGTAAGGTAGTTAGTAAGGCAGTAGTAGACTGCCGCCAGCTTAGTATCGCGCCGGCTCAGTATCCGATTATGTCAAAGGATCCTGAGACTGAATAATAGTTTAGCTGCGAAAGCAGACCGGCGACCCACATGAAAGGTCCCTGGCCCGCACAATGGCTCTGTCAATCTATCGCCCATCTGCTTTTAGTCCTCGAGCCAATGAATTTGAATCTCTGTATCTTCTCAGTTATTCTCCTCGGCATTCTGTATGTCTTCTTCGAGGCCTTCTCCCTGATGTATTCAAACATCTACAATCTTAGTTCGTAGCAGGTGAGACTAACCTCTCTGGGACTCATGGTGGGCATGATCGTGGCTACTCTGTCGAACGGCTTCTGATGAAGAAAGTCCGTGCGCCGGGTGCAAAACCATAAACTGCGGACTGGCCAAACCGATGACAATCAGCCGGAATGAGGATTATCCCGGGCGTGTTGGATTTTCTCGCGTGCGGAGGGAAAGTGAACAAATATTTCGAAAGAGTTCTAACACGGCTGCGTTAACTGTTTACCAGCGATAACAAGTGCGCCATTGGTAACCGTCGGGCTGTTGAACTTGCGTGGACGGCATATCCACATGTTCATTGGCTTGCCTCCACTACCGAGACCGTCATCTATGTGACAGAGTATATATTGACTTATCGTATTTAGAATCACTGCTAAGTAAGATCACATCTGTGCCGTATCAAAACAACAGCTGATATTTGTTATCATTTTGCCAGGACAAACCTCGTCGTCTTTGGAATTTCACGTTCCTCGTTGAGGCCTATCCCAAATACACGACAAATGCGCTGGCAGGGAATAGCTTCGCAATGTTCATCTATAGGCCGGTATTTCCTCTCTTTGGAACCCAGAGTAATGTGATGCGCTCCCATGGAAAGACAATCCCCTGTAACTCTTACTATCTTTTCTTCTGACTTTTTTCGTCATTCCGCGTTGGCTACCGGCGGAAAGGTAACTGCAAAGTTGTTCTTGTTCTTGTGCCTTTGCTCCCATCAAAACTATGCATTCTGTGGACTGGTTTTAGGGAATAGACAGTATTCACTCGGTGAGAGTATAATTGAACTACTTCGCTCATTACCTTCCTTAGTTCGGTGATGTTGCCGTGTCTGTACGCCTATCCTCTTTTTTTCTCTCTCTCCTCTTCCGCCTCATGGTAGTGGAACACCTGCCTGAGATCATCAGATACTGGCCCTTGCAGGACTTTTCACCAAGTTGTATTTTGGGCCGCTATACACAAAAGGTGTGGGAGAGTAGTCGTCTCAACACATCATGGACGGGGCGGAACTAGTCGGGGAAGACATATTGCATAAAGGCATGGCAATGAAGGCTTCCTTATTGTTCCGTTGTGGTGGACTCTAATTTAACTCGAAAAGAGAGAATGACAGCCTGTACATTCCTGCCAAAAGAGCGCCCTGAGGGTTGATCCTAGTCAGTAACTTCCTGCAAGGACGTCCTGTGACGATGAGTCTTGATTTTAAGCTCTGTCTTCGTGCATAATAATGAAATTTGGGAATTGATTCGACGAATATGCCCAAACCCTCAAGAGCACCACAGTGACCGTGGACACGAGAGATGTGCTGGACTAAGGATTGAATACGGCAACAGGTACATCTCCAGGCCAATTCCCAGCGGGAAAATTGTGGCCTTCCCCGCAGATTTCTCAATTGAATATGTTCAACGCAGGGTAAAAGATTTACTACCCTGCTTTATCAAGCTGATCTACACTTATAAGATATTAGTCCCGCTTCACGGGGCTTTGTGTCGGTGCATCGAATGAATTTCCTTTCCCTTCAGTTGAGCCAATTTTGAGTCAATAACTGATAAATCCGATAGCTCGGGCACGTTGCCATGGAGTTAGACAAAAGCTTCTACCTAATTACTTGAAAAAGGATCACCGGCTGAGCAGAAAAGCTTCTTTCATCTCCTGCTTGGGAGGGTGCCCATCCTGGTCTTTCAGTTATAAGTATTGTAGAACCAACAAACAGGGTATTAGATTCGTTTTCGGAGACAATTTTATGAAAGACTCTTTCATGATACATCGCGTCCAATTATCCCAAGACCATGCTTGACCACGCAGACGAGGTCAGGCATGGCGATGCAGCTCAAAAGTACCAGATGGTCCACGATGCTGCGGTACTTGATTCATAGGGTACAGGTGCAGCCCTGGACCCTGCGAAGGAGGAAAGAGAGGAGGTGGAGAAGGTGGATAGGATGTTTTCAGAACTCCAGCCGCAGGAAGAGAGTTGTAATTGTAAGACTTATCATGCTCCAAGCCAGCCAGAGGCTTTCTTTCCTGCGAATGGTGTGTATTTCTACCGGGGGCACAACAACAATCAACCAGCCAGACCATAGTGGCTAGAAAAGACAAGGCCACCGCAAGCCAGGTCGCTCCGTATATGTTCTTGCCCAGGTGGCCGTAAATGCCGTACGGCTTCAAGGTGAGCTTGAGTACGCCTGCAAGAGTGGAGAAGAGCGTAGTAGAAGTAACAGCGGCAGCCGTTGTGAATAGGAGCGATATGCCGGTCAGCAGCCACGTAAAGCAGATTCCCAAGCGACAGAAGCCGGTTAGGAGACCAACTACGATTCCTAAAATGTTGGCGCAGATGGCGAGAAGATATGAGATCTCCATCCCTAGTGAGGCAGTGCGATAGACGCTGAGCGCCCTTTGAAGTTCGCTGGGCATAGCATACCGCATATCGGCTCCTTTGAGACCCCAAATATCGACCGGGTCAAACCAGAAGCCGCCCTGGGGAGTCGAGCAGTAGGTCGTGCTATAGGTACTATCTGCGGTAATATCGCCGGCGCAATAGTTCCAGAGTCCGGCGCTAACCACGGAGTTAGGCGAAGTTGTCAGTTTTTTGAGCTCGAACTGGCAATCCATTATATGAGACTTGGTGAGATCTGACTCTAAGAATAAGCACCGACTTACACGGAAGGAATATAAACGTTCGGCCTTGTTAGCGTCTCTGCAACCCAGGGCAACGATAATAAGGCATATGAGCGAGCCAGTTGTCAGGACGCATGGTCCAATGATCCATGCAAATCGCCCAAGTTGATTCATCCTGAAGAAACTTGGGTATCTCAATTTAGCTGCCGATCTTCCACATTCCTAAAGACTATTGAAAATTGGTTTCTTTTTTCCGAAAAAAGAGCAGGACGTGTAGACTCTTATATGAGACCATGCGCCCCGTTCTGGTAACCTTGACTACCGATTCTAGTCTACCAGGCCCAAATATGAGCCACTCTTCCCCTTGTGGAGCTAAGGGAGGAATTAAGCTAGTATTTTGTTTCTTGGAGACACGAGACGCACGTCAATAGCGGCCATCAAAGCAACAATACTTGTTTTGATAATGAGCTTCCGGCCCTGGAAAGATATTTTCTGGGACACGAACTTGACCTAAGCCGAGCATCTTTTTCTAGTGTTCGGCGAACGCTACTTTCTTTCCGTCAAGTATTCTCTGGGTCGTCTATCCGTCGTAAGTCTGCTATGCATTTCGTCATTTTGGGACTGCCATTCGTCCCCAGGCTGTGCAGCATTGGTTTTTATCCCGTGAAACTCATGCATCGGGCATCCGTTTGGATCCATAATCGGCGAGTAGGTCAGACCTCGTGGTGGGGTTACTGTATATACATTCTGTCGTAGTTTGCTAAAAGAGGAAGGATTCATGACTCCTTGATTGATTGTTATGTTAAGCTAGTTACAAGAATTGAGCTGTTCCGTGTGGTAAACATGATTTCCCTCGATCACGTGACACTAAGCGATACCACCCTGGCCTACGCCAACACATTCTTCACTCCGTGGGCCTAGGCATTGATCGTTCAAGGTCCAGGATGCTTAAGAAGCAAGAAGAAAGAGTAGGTATACAGGAGTCTACTAATGGCTCCGATGTCTCATGAAAACCAATTGAGATGCATACTACTTCACTTCATCAGTGGCGATGCGACCCACATTTTGGGGCAGCTCTCTAGACTAACGGTCGGTCTTGGTCCAGGCAGCAAAATTCTCTTCGGTACTTTTTTTCAGGCCAAGTGGAGCGGCAATTCTTGGCACGTGAAATGCGAACACGAATATCCTTTTCCGGAAACGCCAGTTGCCACATGGAGCAATCATGACACTCCTTCCTACACAGTAAGTACCTGGAGTAGATGAGTCCCAAAGAAACTGAAAGCCCTGAGAGATGGCTCGGCTATCCCCAATGCCCGAATGGCAGTATGAGAACAGCAAGACTTATAACCATGACTTTAAAAACAAAGGCCGACCACAGCATTCCCACCACGTTCAATGCGTTGAGAGCCTGGGTGGACAATGGGACGACTCCCCGCGCCCTGCCGGTGAAGTAGTTGGGACTAGCGAGACGAAATATTGGATTTCATATCCCTACATAGTGTAGGCGAACTACATGGGTGGGAATACTTCGTCGGTGGAGAGCTTCCGCTGAATTTAGGCGGGCAGGAGCTCGTACAGGATCGGGTCAGGCAAGGCATCCCGAGGGTGCCTGAAGTCGGCATCTCAATTTTGCATAGGTCGAATCTGAGTAAGGAGACATCTTCATTCATTCTTGTAACCTTCGAGAATTTTGGTCTAAATATTATCCACTTCCAAACGCCCCAGCGTGTCTCTATATAACGGACGGCCAGTTCTCTCCGGTCTCAACGACATGCGCCAAACCCCCCACCAACATCTGGTCGACCGGCCACTGAATAAACGGCTGATATGCGAGATCCAAATGGCAGTAAACCCCCCTTACAATATGCTGTGGCTAACCCTGGATAAACTACGCCTGATCGAGCTGATTCAGCAGCACCGCGAAAAACGCAAAGAGAATGAGCGCGATCGGCTCCCGGTACTGCAGGTCCTGCACCAGGTCGTCTGGCAACTGTTCCAGCCACGAGAAAATCAACGGGAAGAGGGACATGCCAGCCGCACGGGGGCCGGGACCGAGCACGGCGTGCAGGCTGTAGTGGAGCTGGCCGAGCATGCGGTGGTAGCTTGAGGACCGCGGGTCTGTCTCGGGGATGTTGGGGGAAACAAGATCGTGGAGCATGGTGCATTGGCTGTCATATCCGTCGGGCCGGATGCTGCGTTGGTAGCGGGGATGCCGCCCTGCCCTGGCACATTCTCTGCATCCGCGTCGAGACTTGGGTCGTCCTCTCCCGAGATAACAAACATCAATCGGCAACTCATTCTGACAAAACTCCAAAATGGACCGGACGCCCAAGAAGAGCCCCAGGTATCCTGACTCGCCGTCGTCGCGGAAGGCGAGGTACTCCCCGGGTTCAGGGCCCTTGGCGAGGGAGCAGAGGAAGATGAACACCGCAGACGTGTATATGGCGGGCGCGTTCTCAGAGTTAAGCTGGCTGGTTAACGCGGTGATTTCTTGCACCGCGGTATGGAGGTGGCTATCGGCTTCGGCGAGGAAGTCCTCCTGGGTTCCTATATAGCGGTTCCAGGGAAAGCCGTTGGATTCTCGCACGAGATTAAAGCCGGACAATGCAAGGAGAATATGCAAAACGTAGTGGTGGGAGAACCCTAGTCGACAGAGCTATTTCTGCGCACGCGGCTGGATGGCGGTCAGCTCGGTGGAGGTAAGGACATGGTGGAAGAGGGCCATGTCGGTCACTGTAAACTGAAAGGGCCGTTTGGCGATCTCGTCCGAGGGTGGGATGGGTTGCTGCTGTGTCGGTTGGGCCGAGGCGTGCGGCCGGCTATACGCGCGGATGGGTGATTTGAAGTTTGTCGGAGTGGAGGTGATATAGGTGTAGCTAACATCCCTTTGCTCCAACACTGCCGAGCTGGAGGGGCTACTCCATTCCGTTGAGCTAGCAGAGTTCTTGGGTGGGAGGCTGTAATCGCACTCAACTGCGTGGCGTACGCAATTGGTGCAATGTGGTCTTATCTCATCACACTGGATGGAGGTCGATCAGCGCTGCACATAGGTCAGGGCAGGAGTCAAGCCACCAACCTTGATCCTTCGCCGCTTACAGTTGCGGCAGCTCAGGCGAGACTTTCGGTGTGTCTTACGCGCTTGGGTACGGGTATAAGGCGTGATAGATGGATCCAAGTTCGTATGCCACAGAATCAAACAGATTGAAATCAATACAGGAAGGCGTTGACACGAGCCTAGGATGAAGCCCTAGGGTATAAGCAAAAATTAGGAGTTGATTCAGACACGGGAAGGACGGACTACGGCACGCCGCAGCAGCACGAAACCCTAAATGAGTTTGATAAGAAAAGTGGATTCCGGAAGGGCGCCGCGCGAACAAAAATCGCCTCATTCTCACGTTGTAGGACTGCAGGCTCCTCGGAAGCCCCATCCGTTTTTGAGTCCGACGTTCAATGAATAATCTACGTATCGGCCGTTCGGGCAGAAAGGTAAATTACTCTATAATCAAAACACTGCATTTGACCCTTGGCTAGATCATGCGTTTGATGAACAATGAAGTAGCATTACGCATATTCATACTTACTAGCATATAGCTATAGCACAGGCGCAAATTAATGTGGACTGCACATACTGACCACTACCAAAAAACATTTTGTCTCAGTCAATGATAATTGTTATGCTCAGTTTGTAGTTTGCAACGCAAGGGTTATTCATAAGCGCCGACAAACAGCTTCCGAATTCAGAACTTGTGGGCCAGCTCTCCGCCGCTATTGGCGTGATTGTAAAGCATAACCCCAAAAGATCACTATTCTCCACCCCCACAGCAACACTCAAAACACATGAGCCCGCAGCATCTAAGATAATCAATATACGGTCCATAGCTGGGCGAAGAGAAGGGTCACAAAGGAAAACCTACACTCCACAGCAGACCTCTCCGGCTTCACCACCTCCTCGCAGGCTCAATGCTGCTGGTTCTTGGGTCATTGTCTTTAATACAGGTCAGTACACTCGACATCGATGCCACGATGGCTGTTAAGTAAGGAATATCTCATACCGGTATCTTCGTGCTGGGAGCTTCGGTAGCAGCTGGTTGTTGCATGGTCACAGTCTCGGGATTCCAGACATATTCTTGCTGTTCTGGAGTCGGTGCTCTGCCGAAAGGTGTGAAAATCCAATCGAAGAAGTTCATCTTGTCTGCTTGCGAGTTGGGGAATTGGAATCTCGGTAAAGAGTGAAGTTTGAAGGCGACGAAAATCTCAACAATTATAGGGGGTACTTATATGTCACAAGCGATTGTGAACCCCTGAATCCTAGAAACCATTATCAATAAACTGCCATCTTGTTAGGGACAGGCGCCCATTCTATTTTTCAGAGTCGATCAGGTCCCGCCGTCTCCACGCCTGACCGACAGTGAAACTCAGGCGATAATACATTATACATTCGCAACCAGTGATTTTTTACAAGAGAGAAGGTCGGAGTGGCCGATACTCATGACTACCAAGCAACTGAAGGTAGAACTGTTTTAGGTTGCATCACAATACCATTCGAACTTGCTAATCCCCCCCTTTTGCTGTCCATTTTTTCCCTTCGGTAAGCTTTTTCTAGAAGTGCAAGATCAATAGATTGAAGGTCAAGTGCATTGTCTACTGGTACCATCAGGAGATATGCCCGGGTCTCGGCGTGAAGGTGGACCACGAGGTAAGCTGAACTAGGTGCCTGAACCCGAGGAACGCACTGAACGCTGGCCCAAGATTAATTTCTGCAGCATGTTAAAAAGCTTAACCTACCAAAAGATCTTCATATATTCTGAGACTCGGCCGACAAGGTGGACCCACCAGCAATGCATGACCCATAGTTAATGGTATCATATACGAGTGCGGATATCCTTTTCCAAATTAGCGTCTTATTTTCTACTGTGGAGACTAGTCCCCTTGCCAAGCTTTTATGAGCCCCGTTGGAGTATGTACCCACGTAGTGCCAAGGGGGCGCAGATTTGCCTTCCTTGCCCTACCACATGTTGGTCCTTCACATTATAAATATCGCCATACTATCCTTGATCTTTTGCGAACTGCCAGCATATTCTGTTTTCACTTTACCCATTTTTTTTTGTAATCAATACACTATGGCAGACACACAGAAAGTATACCGACCCTGGCCCGCGGAGCCCCCTACCTACCAGCATGCCAACTCGGAAGATATACAGAAAGTCACCCACAATAAAGAGTGGAATTATTCTCTTTTCGATTGTTGTTCTCCAGCATCGCTATGTACGTTTTCACTTGTTCTTTTTTGAGTCGAAAAAGCATATCAGATCGACTGACACCCAGGATTTTGTGCACAGGTCTCACCAGCTGCTGTCTCCCCTGTCTTGCCTTTGGCAAAACACAAGCAAGAGTGCAAGATCCAAAGCTGGAGGGCTATAGCTCTGTCAACGGTGATGTAAGCCTCTCGTACACGGCTAAGTATTGTAAGAATTCTAATCTTTGTACAGTGCATGATCTTCACTTTCCTATCTTTTGGCTACGCGCAGTGGATCTATCAATGCATCAAACGAGGCGAAATGCGGCAGAAGTATGGCATCGAGGGTTCGTGCTGTGGTGACTGCTGTGTGACTTTCTGCTGTAGCTGTTGTGCCCTTGTCCAAGAGGAAAAGGAAGCCGAATTACGAACGAGGCCGGATCTTGCAGGTTACCAAATGGCCCCGCAGATGGAGTTCTCACAGAAATAAGGCTGTTCGTTAGGGCAAGGATGCGGGTTGCTTGGGTGGGGTGATGTCTTTATTCATTTATGGCTGGCTTGGCGATGGGGCTTCTTAACCATATCTCAGGTTTCACATGTATTTATCTATTTAATATTGGTGTTTAACTTCAATAGCATTGGCAATATTTTTACAGTAATCTCCATCTTCTTTCCTGCCCATTATGTTCTTACTTTAGCGCGATCGACCCATCGACAATGGAATGAGACCAGGCATAGCTTTTTGTTGGCGGGTACCCCTGGTAGGATGCATGGGATGATTCCATGGATATTTTACCGACTTCAACGCGCCAGCTTTCTCTCCCGGATTTTTCCGCTTAAAATTGGTTGGAAATACGAGTCTCTATTTCGCAATCGTGAATCTTCTTGAACTGATCTTCATACCAGAGTGAAGACGACATCAAGCTTGTTGGGGTCCTCGTTAACTCGTACCTCGAAAACTCGCGGATAATCGTTCTGACCGTGGTTCCTACAAGTAGCGATATTGATACTCTAGGAATCATTCATAGCCCCGGAAATAGTCTTGATGTGTTTGTTGGTCAAGGCGATTCTGAGATCAACTGTAAGCCTCGCATCACTCGAATCTTCGCGCCGTCGATTGATTTAGGATACCATCCCCAGAAATGGAGAAGTGCCTGTATCGTGGTACTACGGAAACGGGCAATCGGATTACTCGCTCCCAGGGGCCTACCGGCTGATTATATTACTGAACACACTCGACAAATTACTTGAGACAGTAATAGCCCGGTGACTGTCTTACCTCGCAGAGTGTTATAGAATTCTTCCAGATACTCAATTCAGTCGACATGCGGGACAGACAACCGAGTACACTATAATTAACCGGACATGGTATTGATAAAAAGTAAATACTTTAGTGACCTTTGACCTGAACGATACCTTTTTAACAGTATAAACAAGACCAGTCTTAGTCTTTGTCTCCAAGCCAAAGATATCTCTACATTTCCCAAAGTAGACTACAACCTTTATAAGCAATTAACAGGCCAGTGTTAGTTTCAACGACTACTGCTCTGAGATAATATCACTGGAAAATACCGGGCTGGTGCAGTATTCTTTCTTATCCTCTATTTTTTTTATGCTTTTTGACTGCGATTTCGTATGTTTTCCGAGATCAATAGTATATTACTAGCTCAATACACAAGAAAGCTGTACAGAGTCTGTTTAAAAAATTGAGCGTATCTCCTGATACAAATACAGACTGGGATTTACATCGAGAACTTCGGGAAAAATCGGCGACACGCTCAATAACATGTTAACCCTACTGGAAGAATCTGGTGAGAAGGGGAGAAGTACAATCATTAATACTTCTCGTGCCCAAACTGTTGAAGCTGTTTTAGATTCTGCGGAAGTATCTCCGCATTCTAAAACTGCGCGCTATGAAAGTAGTTGATCAGTATCAACAGCTAAAAGGCCACAGCAAGCCCTGACAAGACCCTAGGGTTGTTTAGAAAGTGGTACAGGATGAATATTCATTAAAGAGGTATTTATAGTGGTAGTAGCCTGAATATTGCCTTGGCAAGGGGTCACGTTAAATGAGATCATCCTTCCATCCATCCGACTGTAAGTTTCTAGTAGGCTAGTTGCCTTACTCCGACAGGGCGCTTCGTACTCTCTATCCGTGGCGATAAGGCTCGTAGGCGGTACCCGGCGAGGCAGGAGCCATGGGACGGAGAGAATACTGCTGAGGTTGTACTGAAGGATGAAGAAGGGGTGTTGCAATTGTCTCAGCAGGCGCATACCCACCTCCGGGGGCCTGACGCCGGTCCCCTTGACAACAACACGCGATCAGCGTCCAGCCGATCAAGGTAACAAACGACAGAGCGAGCCCGAGCCATAGTACTATAAACACCGGGACACCCCATATAGCTGTCAAGCCCAGTAATTTCAGCTCTGTCGCGATAATACCCCGCAGCAACACAAAGTTGACTGTTATCAGTGCGGCGGCCACCAGCGTGAAGAGAAAGGCGATGCCAGACAGCAGCCAGCCGTGGACAGTGACAGCACCGTTGCCGCTGCGGATCACGGACACCACAGCACCCAGCAACTGGACCGTTGTGAGGCCGGTGGCCAGGATGTACAGAATCTGCATCCACTGGGTGCTGTTCTTATACCTGCCCATTGAGCGGCGCAGGGACGACGGGAGCTTTTCCTCCGCTTTATCGTCGGTCCCGCCGATGGCTAAGAGGTCGAACCAGTAGCCCGGCCGGGGCTTGATGCAGGTGTGTGCTGTTTTGTTCCCCTCGTCGCCGGCGCAGTATCCCAGCATGCCGATCGAGTACCAGTCCGCTAATTTTCCCCTGTGACGAGCCGTCACCAAGGCCTCCCAGATTACCCCACCGTTGGTGCTGTTGTTCTCCGTCAGGTTATAGGTATTGATCTTGAATCCGAAAAAACCAGCACCCAGTACATTAGCATACACCGGTCGAGAAATTGACAGGCTTGGCCGAACAGGAAGAGAAATAGGCTCACCTGGAGAAAGTCTAATGCCCGGAGTTTTGGGCCTCCGCGGCTGGTGCATGCTAAGCCCACAATAACAAGACAGATAAGAGCCCCGAGACTGAACACGCTTGATGTGAGAATCGTGCATAGCGGAACAACTCTCATGGTTTCATAAGGACGTGATGACACGTGTTGTCTGGGGAGAAAAGTGATTATCCGAGCAAAAAAAGCAACAGAGCTACGCAGATACGATGTTTGCTATTATATAGGCGGAACAGCGATGTAAATTCAGACATGGACTGTAAATAATATTATGATACTCCACTAAAAAGACTATGTTTATAAATTATCAACAAGCTCGCATGGATTTTGATTAGGGGTTCTAGGAGAAATCTCGGAGAAACTTGTAAAACAAGTCTAGTAAGGGCCGAAACTAGATACAGGAGAGTTGCCTAATAGGGCACTGTCGCTGGATTTCCTGTTAAGTAGTAAATACTTATTAAACTAAGTTGTATTCCGTGAATCCTTGAACTAGAATCTGTAAGGAATCCACTTTCTTCTAATTCTAATTCTAAAATAGTTTTGATCTGAAGTGGTACGGGTAAGTACTTTTCCTTCTACCCCACAGGGACTAACTAACCTAGGCTAACAGTTGGGACCTGAGGTGGCGTTCATGCTGAAAACCTAAAATTCTGCAACATGCCCCCACTCCAATCGTCTAATGACATTGTTTGGGGAATTATATGAATAGGAAGATGCTATTGACCCAACTGTTCTGGCTTCTGACCGCCACACCAGCCCATGTAGGGCTAGCCGATCAACACCACGGCCAATCATCGGAACGATTGTGTCAACAGGAACTTCCTTTTCTCGGAGCAGGCAGACAAAAGTGGATGGTGTCGAAGATCGTCTTGAGTCCCTGAAGTAACCCTGCAGGACCCTAGACCCGTGCCGAGGTAATGTATACACTATACATGTGTAGTACATATTTCTATGTTATCAGTGAATTCGCTGAATACGTTGTCACCCCGTGATTTTTGTGTTATTTTACCGGCTTGCTTACTTGTAATCCATGATTGTTTCTCTTTACCTTCTGATAGCGAAACAGAAGATCCTCGCAAAAACAAGCGGTCTGAGGGAGGCCGCCACGTAGCAGGATGTAGACCCATAGTCAATTTTGACCCGTTTTCCCCTCTTTTTCTTCTTTCCTTTTCTTTCTTAGCTTTGTCTTTATTCTGACACAGTCTTGTAAAAAGTGTGATACTGCCCAGAAATTGTATAATATTTGGGTCTAGCTAAAATGGGTACAAAATCAAGCACTTTGTACATGAAGCGAAAACTATCTATATAGGTGAAGGAATGCAAGAATTGAAAAAGCCATCTAAAGCCCATGGTGCGGACGAGTCACGATAACTTCAGTGCACGTATCAACTTCCGCATTGCTTACGTGCAACGGAAGCTCTCAGCCAGAGTGATATTGCCGCCAATATACTCAATCTGGGAAGGATATGGGCACAGGTTACGCTGGAGACCGTTTCCGAGCGACGGGTACTCCACGGGCAAGGTGTCCGGGGCGGTGCCATTTTCGACCCAACGCTGGAGTGCCTTGAGGACGGTGGTCGGCTGGCCGCCGAGGCCGCCAGCGCAGTGACCCAGACCCGGCGACTCGAAAAAGCGCCAGAAGTCCTGAATGTCCGGGAAGAGCACCCGCGCCTTGTCGTAGAGGTATTCGGTACCCTTGGTGGGGATACTCTGATCGGCCTGTTCGGCAAACGCGCGGTGTGTTAGCTATGGTCGTCAAGGGTTTCGGCAGCACATGGAGAAGATTAAAAGGGAAAGAGACGTACCATGCCATGGTAGGTGAGAAGCTTGCCTCCAACATTCTTGAAAGCATGCAAGTTCGCATCGTCTGCATCCCAGGAGCTGCCATACTCTGAAGTCATCAGGTTGAAAAATTCCTGGTACTCCTCGTGGCTCATGTCATTTGTGTTAAAGCTGGCATTCTTAGCGACGAATAGATTAAACCACACGTCCTTGGCGTTGTTGCTCGATGATCCATTGTATCCCGGTTGAACACCGAAGTTACTACCGATGTCGGACCCGGGGTTGTATCCATACCAGAGCTGGCGGCCGTCGGTGGCGTGCGCGCCCGACCAGGCGGCATCGGCGATGAGCGCAGCGCCCTGGCTGAGTGTGATCGTACGGTTTAAGGAGTCGCAGGTGAAGGTCTTGTTCACGGCGGTGTAGGGGTCGTAGTTACAGGCAGTCATATTGGATATGAGCCCATCCACCACACCATCCAGAGGATCACAGTGGGCAATGGCTTCACCTGTCAGGAAGTTCAGTTCGCAGACCAGCGGGTTCACATTGTGCCAGTTCCGCAGCAAGAGGGGATAGTAGAGCGAGGAGGTAAACTTGGTGTAGGATTGGGCCGGGGCAGAGGCGGCAATACCGTCATATGCGGTGGGATAACGCTCGGCGATCATCATTCCCTGCCTGCCTCCTTGCGAGCAACCGCTCCAGTACGAGTACTCGGGGGCACGACCGTAGAAGCTGTTCACCAGGCTCTTTCCAATGATAGCTTGGTCATTGTATGCCCGGGATCCAAAGTTTTCCACCGCTACCCAATCAACGTTGCCCGGGCTGGTGAGCGCCCATTCACCGGGTCCTGTAGTATCCTTGCCCAGTCCAGCATCAGTCGTGGTCGTGGCAAAGCCTTCTCCAAGTGCACCTCCCATGAAGAACTCCGACAGCACAAACCGGCCAGCAGCCCATCCGCCACCTCCAGTTGCCTGCAGGCGGCCGTTCCAGTTCTCCGTTTCTGGAAGCCAGGTCTCGACGGTGATGTTATCCTCATAGCCAGGATGAGTGTACTTCACAGTGATGTTGCAGAATTTGGCATTTTCCAGGTTAACAGTGCCTCCGTTGTAGTTGAAGCTGTACGGGATGTAGTCGGTGTAATTGGTGACCCAAGCCGCTGAAAGAGAAAGAATTTCAGCCCCGTACACGGTCGGGGCCTGTATAGCCGCAGGAGAGCAAATGGAAAAGTTCGTCATGGCCCCTAATGTAAAGTCCTCCAGAGGTATGAGAAGGAGTGTGAGGAATGAAGTGAGTGTTAAAGAATTCTCCGGTCCGAATGATCATTATATACCTCAGTTTTCTAGCCAGGACGTGGCACACACCATCCATTTCAGTGAATGACGTAGTTCGGAAAGGAGTATCGGATGGTGGAGCCCCGAGTCAAGCAACGACCGAGTGGCTATTCCTAAAATGGACGTTCGTACTCGGGCTTGGCCTTGCCCGATTTCTTCAAGGTTCAACAGTAATGTGCCGGTCCACTTGGGGTGTTCTGGAAAACCCGGGAAAGAAATTAGGGCCACAGGGTTCCCGAGGGAGTCAGGCTTCCGGGGTGCACTAGAATCACTGATCGTATGCCTTCATAGGTCTTGAGGCATCGCTGCGGCCCGACTGGGACTGAGGGAATCTAGGGAAGCCCTGTACGCTGAGGGATTGCTGGTTGATATTAATACAATATAAAACAATTGTTGTGTGCTGAGTGGGAATTATTGTAATAGTGGACCCACCCGCGGGTGCTTCCAAGCCCCTTGGAAATATAACCATACCGGGACTAATAGGGAACAACACGCTGGAAAACTCTGAATTAATAACTATGTATAAGATACGGAGACAGACACGCGCAGATAACTACCAGGACTAGGTAAACTTTTTAATAATTAAATTATATACTGCCGGCCCCAACACACCCAGGGTGACTATAAAGAAAATCTAATAGATTATTAAATATCTATAACATACTATTAAGAAGCAAACTGCATTAATCTAAGCTATTAGGGCGGAACTAAAGGAAGTAAAATACAACTAAAAAGAGCTATAAGCCTAGAATAGAAGTCTGTATAAGGAAATCCAAGCCCTCCGATCTAAATTGGAGGTACAACCGCCGAGCGGCCTTTTAAATAGGTTGTGGGCAGAAGTAGCTGCAGGCCACCTGCTGCCAGACTTTAAAAAAACAGTTTTATACTTTAAAAAGAAATCTAACTGTGTTTAAATTAGCACCGCACCAACTTTAGATTAGAATATTAATAATAACTGATTTTTAAAAGCCCTGCTAACAGAAGCAGTAAATACTTATATTTATACTGCCCTTTTAAATGCAGAGACTACTAAAAATGTTTAAATTACTGGAATTAGTACTACTAAAACTAGTTATATTATTTAATTTTAAAATATACAGTCTATAGAGGCCGCTTGGGATAATACTAAATAGTTAGATAAATTAGAAAATAATACTAAAGTGTTATGGGACCAAGGCCCTGTTATAGAGCTCGGCTTCAGGCACCAATTGACACCTGAGGCCTTGTATACCAAGTACTAAACTAGCACTAGCTTAGTGTATATATAAAAAAATTTTATACAAACAGATAAAATAGCTCCTCAGCTATTTCTTTGTATTTTAAGGTATGTTTTGATTAGTATAATCCATCTATTCTATAATATTAAAAATAGCTTATTAAAAAGCCCTAGACAGAGCCCGACTAGGCATATAAATAAAATAAAATAAAACTAAAAGAATTATTAGAATAATAAAATAAATAAATTAAAAAGAACTGTAGCTGACTGCAGTATCTACAGCTATATATAATAATATATAACTCCTTTTATAGAAGCTAATCAGCCTTTGTATAGAAATAGTAAAACAAAAACCTGCTTTTAAAAAGCAGATAAATAAATTACAGAGTTATAATATAACCCCTACTATTAATAGTAAACTAAAGAAAAACCCCCTATAGTAATTATATAAGCTAAATTATAAATCCTATTTTTAATATTTTAATATAAAATTATTTAATAAAAAAAACAAATACAACTACAAACTATTTAAATTAAATATATATATAAAACTTATAATTAACAGAAATTACTATTTTATCAGACTAGAATAAGTTTTTTATATTTATAGTTAATTATACAGATAGGTAGTACAGCAGATACTTTTTTAAATTAAATTCTAAAATACTAAAATAGTATAATTTAAAAATATACTTATAGTAATAGATAAGATGTTTAGAAATTCTAATATATAATAAAAAGCCCTAAACCGGGTAAATATAATAAAATAAAAAAAAATAGAATTAAAAGAATTTTTAAATAACTTTAATAAAGCTCTGCTATAAGCAGGGGGGTATAATTAGTTGGATAAATAAAAAAAAACTATACTAAATACTGTAGTAAACTAAAGGCTTATTAAAAGATTAGTTGGAATTTTTTAAAAGTCTATATATAAAGATTATTATAACTAACTATACTGTATAAATTATAATTTTAATAAAATATTTTTTTTAAAAAAAGTTATACTAAGACTATACTAGTATAATATAAACCAAGCTCTAAACTAATAAAGTAAAAACCTATTTAAATAGCTGTTATATAGTAAAAAAAATCCTATTTTTATATAACTACTAACAATTCTTAGAAACAGGCTTAATAAATAATATCCAGTAAAATACTAAAAAAATATAAAATAGATTACTGCTTTTATTATAAATAGAATAAATATTTTATTTGCTAATATTTTTTAAAACCTATTATATAATTAATAAGTATAGCTGCTGCTATATCTACCTTTTAGTAATAAAAAAAACAGTACACCTTCTTAAATAAAAACTCTGATTTAAAAAAAAAGAAAGTCTAGTATAAAATTATATATCTAAATAAAAATTATTAGACAAAATTAAAAGAAAGTAGAAAAGTTTTAAAAAAAAATATATAGTTATATATTTTTTTTTAATAAAGACTATTTTAGATCTTACTGCAACTGCTTATATTTTTATTAATTTAGAATATCTAATCTATAGTATTATAAGTAAGATATTTGCTAAAGTAAATAACCTATTAATTATTAGTATTAATCTAAGGCTGGTATAAGGGATTTTAGGTAATAAAATACTAATCCACTCTATTATATAAGTAAGAATAAATATAGAATTCTATATAGAAAAAAAAGCATACTTTTATATAATACCTAACAATCTTAGATATAACTTAATCCTAGGAAAGAGCTGGCTGTCCTGCTATAATAAAATATTAAAACCAGGCTAAGAATAAGTATTCTTATATATAATTAAAATAAAACTAAGAGATCTACTATATTTATAATATATAAATCTAAAACTTTAGCTAATTATAAAAACAGAACTTAAAAACTATCTGTAGAAAAGATCTAATAAAAGTATAAAAGTATTTACAGTTTTATTTACTAATATTTAAAAAATACTTTAAACTAAAAAGGCAGTTAATCTATATATAATACTTTTTAAATACTATTAGGATTTTCTACTTTTTTTCTAATTAGAAAATACAGAGAAACTACTGCTATACTGGGGAAAGAGTATTAACTATAAAATCAAACTTATATATTAAAATAAAAAAAAGCCAGAAGTTTTATAGGGCCCTCTTTATAATATATTCTAAAAAAAACTAATAGTTTTATAATCTAAACTAACTAAACTACTGGAAAAAAACTTTATATAAGTTAGTTACTTCTTAGCAGCAGCCCCAGTACTTTTTATATAAAAGCTAGAAAAAAAATTAAGATTCTATATAGATTACTAAATATTTAATATAATTATAAAAAAGAACTGCTACCTACTTCTTCTAATTTATAAGATTCTAAACCAAATTAAAAAAGTAAAATAGTTTACTAAACTAGATGTTTTATCTGCCTTTTATAAAATCTGTATTACAGAGGGTTAAGAATAGATAACAGTTTTTTATATATAGTATAGGCTATATAAATAGCTAGTAACACCCTTTAGACTAGCAAATACTCTAAGTATCTTTTAAAAGTATATTAACTGGATACTATATAAATACCTTAATAAATTCTATTCAGCCTATATTAATAATATATTAATCTATATAGATAGGGATATTAAAAAGCACTGTAAATATATATAAAAAGTATTATAAAAACTAAAAAAAGCCGGCTTATTCTTAGATATTAAAAAGTATAAGTTTAAAAGAAAGAAAACTTTTTATTTTAGATTTATTATATATACAGGGCAAGATATTAAGATAGATTCTAAAAAAATTAAAATAATTATTTTATAAAAAAGTTCTAAATTAGTAAAAGCTGTCTAAAGCTTTTTAAAATTTATAAACTTTTACTGTAAATTTATCTTTAGATTCTCAGCCACTGTACAACTACTTATAAATCTAATTAAAAAAAATCAGCTTTTTTAATAGACCTAAAAGTATAAGACCAGTTTTTAAATATTAAAAAAAAAGTTTATAATTAAGCCTATTTTCTATTTTTTTAATTCTAAATATACAACAGTAGTAGAAACAGACTTTTTAAACTATAATATAAAAAAAATACTTTTTTAAATAAATAAAAATAAAAAGCTGTATTTTTATACCTACTTTTTTAAATAGAATATACTAGCTGAGTGTAATTATAAGATTTATAATAAAAAACTACTAGCAGTTATATAATATCTAAAAGCTTAGAATACTAAGTTATATTTAGTATTAGAGTTTACAGTAGTTACTAATTATAAGAACTTAAAATACTTCTTTAAACTATATAAACTTATAAAAAGATATATATAATAAAGCTTAATCTTAAGCAGATTTAACTTTAAACTAGTTTATTAAAAAAAAATAAAAAACAAGTAAGCAGATACCCTTTTATAATAAAAACAGAATATACCTGATAAACAAGATTTTAAAATATTATCCTATATAATACAGATTTTTAACAGAATACTAAAAAAAGATCTAAAACCAAAAACTAGTTTACTTACTGCAGCCTTAGTACAGTTATAAAAATATAATATAAAACTAGATAAAGACTTTCTAAAACAGATACAGCAAACTATTATAAAACTGCTAGGACTAGAAAATAAAGCTAAAAACAGCTGGACCTATACTCTAACAGCAGATATAAATTATTAAAAACTAGTAAAGCTTATATAAAAAAAATATACAAATTTCTACTCCAGCTAAAACTAAAAGTCTTTCTAAATAAATATTTAATAAAAAAAACTTAAATATACTTTTAAAAAAAATAGTAGGTTTCTAACTATAAACTACTTTATATAG